ATCCCCACCTGCAAAACTGCTCTGTGGGCCTGCTGTTACGTTCTCCACATACAGACAGACAGCACAAGTCAGAGGGCGGGAGAGAGGTGGGGGACACGTTTCTGGCCAGTTGGGGCGGATGTCGTGTGGGCGTGCGTGTATCTCCAGACCGCGCCAGCGGGGCACGCTCACCACGCACGGCCTCCTGGCACAGTCGGGAAAGTGGTTTCAAACATCCACAAAAGTGCATTTCTAGCATGATCAAGGTGCAAGAACGGCCCGGAAGAGAGCTGGAGACTGAGGAAGGGCTTACGACACCTGGCGGCCAGTACCGAACCAGGACAGCATACGTGAGCCACAGCAGGGGGCTCTCTGGACCTGGGGGCGCTCTGGCCCTGGGGGCCCGCTGCCCGGGACCTACTGCCGAGGGTCATGGCTCAAACACGCTTCTCTGGGAGCAGACTGAGCCAGAGCTGCTGGGAGACAGGGTGTGAGGAACCAGCCAAGACACATCCCTGCAGGAGGTGAGCGCGCTCCCTATGTGCCAGAAACTGTTTCCAGAGCGACTTGTTACTTCTCTAACTAGTCACTTGTGGAAGAAATCGCAGCCAGTCTCTAGAAGCTGACCACGTGAGAACAGGGTTTCAGGGACGTGGGCGGAGGGGCAGGGCAATGGAGCCCAGCACCCCGTGTGGTCCCTCTGCTGCTGCTCTGGTCACAGCACTGTCCCGTCTCCACCCCTCCGTTTGCTCACAGCCCAAGAGCGCTCAGAGGCCGGGGCTGACCCTGCTGGGAGTTTCAGTGAAGCCGCAAACGACATACATAAGCGAAGCCCGTGAACAGCCAGGCCCCCGATGCGGCGGCGAAGCAGGCCAAGCTCGTCAGGCGCTAACGCACAGCTGCCAACACTGCCGAAACCCGAGCTGTGCACACTGTATTTTTTTTAAAGTCACATGCTGAGGGCCCTCCCTGGTGGTGCGTCGGTTAAAGCACAGCATGATGACGCTCTCTGCAGCCCCTGCAGCATGCATTCAAGCCCCGGCCAGGGAGCTGACCCACACGGCACCGCAGGCCTCTCCTGACCCGCCCGCTGCTCCCCTCAGCAGTGTGTTTCAGTCAGTCGGCCTGTTCTGCTCCCCACTCTGTCTCTGGGGAATCCTCTCACCCTCCGCATCTCTGACCTATACCCCAGTTCTTGTATGCATCAATAAATAAATCTTAAAAAAAATAAAAGTCACATGCTTGAAAGCTACCTTTGAGTTTAGCGCACAGTCGAGGGGTGTTTCTTTCAGCCGGTTCTGGACGTCGGTGGGCGCTCCGTTTTGCAGCAAGGTCTCTATGATGCCTTGATAGCCCCACCGCGCGGCCACGTGGAGGGGGGTGTCCCCTTTCTCGTTGCCCACGTCTAGTCTGCACGACTGCACGTCGTAGTAGACCAGCGCCTTCACACACTGCAAGGGAGACAGGAGGCCCTGAGACACGCCCCTCCCACCCCCCGCCTCCGTCACGCCCCTGCTCCGGGGAGCTCCAGCCCCCAAGCCGGTGTGCAGAGCCGGACCTCGAGGTTCCAGGTTCCCTGGCCAGGACACAAAGGTTTTGCAGAAGAAGCCCAGTGCCAATCAATGAGAAAAGTGGCAAGAAACTGAGGGAGCTGGCCCGGGGGCCCGGGGATGCCCTTCCAAAAGGCCGCTCGCACAGCTGGCCTGGACACCCACTTTCCTCGGGCACTTAGATTTGGGGAGTGCTCCCCTTGAACTGCAAGGTGGCTCGCCTGCCTAAACTCCGTACACGAGGCTTGTGTGAACACTGCTCTCCTGCTGAAGGCTGGGCTGTGGCACAGGCCAGGCCGGGGTGTGGGGTGACCAGCCTTGTCTAACAGCCTCGGGCCCTGAGTCCCTGAGGAGCTTCCCTGGCAGAAAACACTTCCTAAGTGTCATAACTCCTGTCAAAGGAAGTAAGCATGTCCCGTCCATCTCCACAGGGCAAGGATTCCTTGAAGCGGGTGCCCGGTTTCCTCTTGTTCAAATGCGCCCTGTTACTGTGAGGCCTTTCACTGTAGTAAATCAGAGCTGTGAGTGGACAATGCAGTGCCCTGGGGCCCACCAGGCATATAAGAGACCCAAGGGTGACTTCAGCGATGCTGACATGTACAAAGAACAGAATTCCAGGCAGCTGTTTAGAATGCACTAGGTCGGGCCTCCCTGATGGCCTAGGGGTTAAGGCTCAGCACTATCACTGCGGGGGCCTGAGTTTGATCCCCCACAGGGCGCAGGAGACCTCTCCTGTCTCCCCGCTGCTCCCCTCCGCAGTGTTCCTCATCTATCTGCCTGTTCTGCTCCCCACTCTGTCTCTGGTGAATCCTCTCACCCCTCACACCCCCTGTACCTCTGGCCTACACCCCTGTTCTTGTATGCATAAATAAATAAATCTTTAAAATAAACAAAAAAAGGGGCTAGATCCACACTTACTAAGCTAGAAAATTTCTCTGATGTGCTGTTAAGTTAGGAAGGCTAGCTGCATAAAAATGTGTATGGTGTGCGACCCTCCCTGTGGCGCAGTGGGTCAAAGCACCGCATTATGAAGCTGCACAGAGAAACTGCAGCACGAGACCGATCCCCGGCCAGGGAGCCGGCCCCCAGGGCGCAGCAGACCTCTCCTGACCTGCCCACTGCTCCCCTCAGCAGTGCAGCTCAAGAGATCTGCCTGTTCTGCGCCCCGCTCTGTCTCGGTGAATCCTCTCACTCCCCAGTTCTTGTACGTATAAATAAATCTTTTAAAATATATAGACACGATGTGACCCCATATTTGCACATCAACCACGTGCCCGCCTCCACCCCGGCGTATACGAGCCTACCTGTGGGTATTATGAACAGGAGGGAGAGAGAACATGGCAGGGGGAAAAGAACACGCAGCCACACAGATTACATTAAATACGACGTAAAAATAGGAATTAGAAGATTCCTTTGCATTAGTGTTAAAATGCAGACAGAGCATGGACGAAGGTGAGAGCCAGAGGGTAGCAGTTAGCGGTGATAAGTGAAAATACTGAACTTTAGGGTGGTGGGTAATTAGGTTTAGGTTTCTGTTGGTTTGCATTTTTTAAATCGAAACGATTCTTGGCCAGCTGTTGTATTTGTTACCAACCAACATACACTGAACTGGCTGGGGACCCACACACTGGTCGGGGCAAGGGAGACCGCGGGAAGGAGGGAGCCGCCCTGGGGACACGCGCCACTCACGTCCTCGTGGCCGTAGGTGCAGGCCAGGTGCAGGGGGGTGTTGCCATTGTTATCTGGCACCTGGGTGTCCGCCTTGTAGTGCAGCAGCAGCAGCTTCCAAAAGGGAGAGAGAGAGGTGAGCACCCACACACCCTGCAGCTCAGGCACATGCCCCCCAAGAAGCACGGCCTGGGGGAGCCCACAGGTGTACGAGGGCCCTGCTTTCATCTTCACTGCTATTTTCCAGAGTGAAAGGGCTGTCGGCACTCTCATCCTTCCTTTACAAAGGGGACAGCGATTTAAAAGTCCACAGTCCCGGGCCCTCCCTGGTGGCGCAACAGGTTAGGACGCAGCACTGCAAGCTGGCCACGGCCGCTTCAGTGCCAGTTTGATCCCCGGCCCTGGAGGTGACCCACATGGCGGACCCTTCCTGTCTTCCCGCTGCCCCCCTCAGCAGTGTACTTCGTCGATCTGCCTGTTCTACAGCCCCCCTTCTCCCCAAAAGTTATGGGGCCACTTCAAACCTAGACCTGGTAGTCTGCCAAGTGGACCACAGGAGGGGCCCCGGACGCCGCCCGTGCTGGGCTGCAGCAGGGACAGTGATCGGAGCCCTAGGCCAGCGCGGCTGTGAGGCGGGAGGCGGAAGCCACTCGGCCAGGCCCGGCTGGGGTGGTGCCTGCTCACCGTCACGCCCTGGTAGCCCTTCTGGCACGCGAGGTGGAGCGGCGTCGACCCGTGATAGTCCGTGGCGTTCACCACAGCGCCTTTGGAGACCAGCAGGTCAATGAGGGATGCCTGCCCTGCAGAAGAGAAGGGCTTCACAACAGAGAAGGGGCAAGGGGCCTCCACGCCCCAAAGGTGAGACGACCTTATGTTTGCTGCCCAGTCCCTGGACAGAAGTCACGCTCAGAACAGACAGAAAGTCAGAGTGCAGGCTCAGAGCACCTCGGGGCAGCCTGGTGGGGTGGGGTGGGGGGGCGGGCAGGCCCATGGGCTATGCAGAAAAGAGCTTTAGACAGCGACACAACAGTGCACGTTTTCACCAGTCTGTAAGCTACAATAGTGCGCAGCCATTTAAATATACAGATGAGGATCTCCCTGGGGGACCAGGGGGTAATTCTTATGCCATCAAGCATCGCCAGCTGTTGGAGCCTGGATTCGATCCCCATTCCTGGCCAGGGAGCTGACCACACGGCACAGAGACCTCCTGTCTCACCCGCTCCTCCCCTCAGGAGTAGGTAGGTCCGCCTCTTCTGCCCCCCACTCGGTGAATCCCCTCGGCCCGCACACCTCTGGCCTATACCCCCATTCTGGTATGCATAAATAAATTTGAATAAATCTTTAAAAAAGACACAGATGAGGGAAAATGTTATATATTTCCCAGTGAAAAGAGCATCGGATGTAACACGGTGAGCCCCACAATGCCACGCATTTTATGTTCACACCCACCCACCGCATGTGGAAATTCCAGACACGTGCAAATCTAGACTATCTGGGAGACAGGAGGATGGCAGGTGACGCTGGAGAAGGTGGCTTTGAGTCCACTGTGAACGTGTACTCAAACACAGTAAGGTTCTTTTGTAAACAGAGGACGGAAGGGACCCAGCTCTCACACGGCTCACAGCGCAGGCTGGGCACTCCGGCCGGACTGTGCCAGCGCCGGGTGTGAGGGCGCGTCCTCCCTCCCCCAGGCAGCAGGCGGGGAGGCCGGGCAAGCGCTCGCTGCTGTGCACTTCCCGAGAAGCCCCGGGGTGTCCTCCACCACCCCACTCCACTGCCCCATCGGACAGGTCTCCAGTGGGCCACCTGTGGCTCCATTTCTCCGCCACGACAGCCCACAGAAGCCAACCCCACAGCACATACCGTAGAGGGCAGCCACGTGGAGCGGTGTATGGCCGCGGTCGTCTCTGGAGAATGGCGTGACAATCGAAGGGTCATTCAGCCTCCTGCGAGAGGGAGGACACGCAAAAAGGAACCCTGAGCCCAGCACAGCAGAGCCTCTGCCTGGCCAGGCTGCGAGCAGGGGCAGGTCACGGGAGGTGGTCCAGGCTCCACAGCGTCTGGAGGTCACCCAGGCCCTGCTCACGTCCCGGGGGTGACCGAGACTCTACTTCCAGCTCATTCCCTGACAGACACGCTAGGGGGGGACGCTTGTCCCCGCAAAGCCGAGGGGAGACCCACCGGATGCTGGACGGAGCCAACCGTCCCCCGGCCGAGCACCTCTGAGGCTGGGGCAGGCCGTCCGCCCACCTACGGCCAGTGGCGTGCCCAGGGCTGGTCCCACCTGGTCTGCACAGAGGAGACTGTCTCACTACACTACAGAGAAGCTGTGTGCCATGAGGAAAAGCTCCTCATTCAGAATCGCTCGGCAGACGAGAGGAAAGGCCTGGGCTCGTCCCCGCTTCCCGGCACGCGCCTCTTCCTACCCAGAGACCAGCCTCTCGCAGGCGTCACAGAAGCAGAGTGGGTGACACATCTTCTGAACGGCGTCCTTGTCTTGTTCTCCCTGGCTCAGAAGTCGCTCCACTTCCTTCTGGTTCCCTGACGCGATGTGCTGAGGAGACAGCCATTAAGGGCACAACCGACGTGACAGACTTAGCTGCTTTCTACAAGGTGTGGGCTTCTGAGCGCCCACAGACGATCTGTGTGTCTCGATGGAGTGACTCGCCCCCTGGGCTTGTTTCGACTAACTCAGGTGGATGAGGAGAGGGGGGTAGAGAAGAGCAAGATCGGGAGGTCACTACCTGGGGCTTCCTTTATTCCACCACTCTCTTTATTTTTGTAACTGTGAGAATGTTTCATATTTAGAAAAACAACGTGACAAAATCCCAGGGCAGCGGCTGTAGGAGGAGCAACACACTCTGAACCCCAATGTGGCTCTGACACCTCACTTGAACAGTGAGGTCATAGTCTTTTCTTTTTTTTTTTTAAAGATTTTATTTATGCATCCAAGAACTGGGGTGTGGGCCAGAGATATGTGGGCCGGGGGGTGGGGAAGGGGTGAGAGGATTCACCAGAGCCAGAGTGGGGAGGAGAAAAGCGGATTTAGCAACGCAGTGCTGAGGGGCACAGGGGAGGGTCTCCAGACGGGGGTCACTCCCTGGCCGGGCATGGAGCTCGTGCTCACTGGCTGCAACAGGGTCACAGTGCTGAGACTCCCTGCGCCACCAGCGAAGCCTTGACTTGTCACATCCTAACAGTCTTGGTTTGCAAACAGCTGCAGTTAGCGGGAGACCCCCAGCAACAAACCAACTTTTGGGCCCACCCACTATGATTCCTGGGTGTGTTCCCCCGGGAATGAGATGTTTCGGGGAGCACTTCATCCAAGGAGGCTCTCGTGGTCCCAGCGGCAGCTTAGGGAGCCCGCGAGCATCAGCGGGCATCCCAGGCGCCCCGTCCCCTCGCAGCCCCACAGGGACCCCGCTGGCCTCCCGCGGGGGTCAGGTCTGAGAGGGGAGCTCAGATGTGTGGTCCTCCATCAGGCCACCAGCAGCGCTGCACCCCCGGCCCAGGGCACACAGACGGCCTGTGACGAGGGCTCCTGGAGCCGGGGGAGGCGCAGCTCTGGCCTCTCCGCTGGCCCTGAGGACATGCGGAATTTCTCCAAATGGAGAGAAGATGGCCCAGCCGGGGGTCTCTGTGTCTAGCGCCCCTGTGTGCCATCCAGTACAGCAACTGCCCAGCACGCCCAGGGAGGTGGGCAGAAGTGCCGGTGCCCGCCGTGAAGCCTGGGCGTCCCCACCGCAAGCTCTGCCCGGGCAAGACACTACGGTCAGCGCAACTACACGGCCACCCCGCGGGTTCTAGGCAGACGCCAGAGGCTCCGAAAGAGGGGGTGCCCTCACACACCTGCGCCCACACACTTCTCGGCGTCCTACCTTGAACAGGCAGTCGATGGGCGTGGACGTCATCTGAGACAGTAAACTCATCCTCTGTTTAAGGACCAGCCTGCCGCCCGGCCCCTCGGACTCCTGAGGGAGAAAGGAGCAACCTGGCTTGTCTCGTGAGACGTCAGCGCGGGTCCGGCCAAACAGGGCCTCCAGGAACCGTCCTTGCCCCCCCCAGCAGGGTCAGCAGCCCCCGGCAGGCTGGGAGAGCGCCCGTCTGTCCCCCCCAACTGGCGCTCTGCGGCTGGTTTCCGGGGGGGACCCAGGCAGCAGCGGCTGGCTGTGCGCGTGTGGAATGTGTCACCCCTGGGTGTGGAATGTCACGTCACCTCCAGATAGAGCCTCGGACCCTGGCCGCCTCCGCCCTGCAGACTCCGACCTAATTCTGACTCACCTCGTCCCCGCCATTGTCTCTGAGCCCACAGACCAGAGAGTCACTTGGCGGCCTCGCCTATAGCTCCCGTTGTCACCAGCAGGAGAGAAGGGTTCTGGCTTTTTCAACAAACTTAAGAAAACATCAGACTAGCTCAAAGTCCAGTTAAGATTCTGGGGCCTAGTCTCGCTAGAACTATCTCGAGTTGTGTCCTCTTTGCAAAATAATTTCTACAGACACCTCAGTGTTCCTTTGGGCACCTGCGTGTCATCTGCCTAATGCCAAATTAACCTCCTCAGAAAAGAGTCTTGGTGGGAGGTAAAGAAATTTCTCCCCCGGCCCCCCAGCTGCTGCCGAAAGAACTCAGCAACCTGACAGCACCGTGAGACACGAAGGACCAACACCCTCGCCAAGGACGTACTGCGCCGTGACCCTCCCTGGCCACCCAAGCTGACGGGCATCCCCGGGGAGGGGCACGCAGGATGCCCAGAGAACCAGGACACTGAGTTGTTAGCAGATATTAATCTTCTAGTCAGAGAAAAATAATAAAAATATTACTCTTTTAGGGGAGAAACCGTCTACAATGCTATCATTTCAAGGACGCATACAGGAGAGGGAAGAGACCGGGAAACACATAACCGTGTGAAGAAGGAACTGCTTTACCCGCCGGTGCCAGTCAGGACAGACAAGGGCTTTCCCGGCTGTTTGAAATGATCACAACTTTGGGAGATTCAAGTATCAGTACAAAAGGAAGATCCAATGGGTGCTCCACCCTCAGGATGCCTAGTTTGTGACACAGAAGAAATCTTTATCAGATTCAATTTGTGATTTCTGGGCACCCTGTCACGCCTTGCCGGGTCCGGCTCAAGAGTCTCACCATTCACAGAGAAACACAACCCGCCCCGATGCTGAAGCTCACCAACCCACCAAGAGAACAGTAACGAGGCTGCAGGCTTAAAATTGCATGTGTGCGTAACCTCATCTCTTGCCTCTCGGGACAAATTCCAAATTCACCGCTTCTCTTTTCTGCCTATGCGCTGCTGAGGGTGATGAGGATTAATGAAGCAGGATATTAACACTGCGAGTCCAACCGTGATCTGTTGACTGCCACCTTTAACTGGGTGCCGCGTGTGGAGTCTCCTGGGAGGTTGTCAAGCCTCCAGGCCTCAAACAGCAAAAGCAGAGGCCCCATCCCCAGGAGACTACTTGAGAGACTCCTGCCTCCCCACCTGCCCCCTGTCCTCCGCCCCCCAGCAACCTCAGTCCATATCGAATGTCCCAGAGGCCCACATGACAGGCGGGGGCGGGAGATCTTACCGGCGGTTTAACAGACAGGCTTCCTTGCCGAATGTATTCAATTGCAGCCTCAATCGAGGTCAGGCAGTATCCCAATTCATCTTTTGCTGAGCTGCTGAATCTGAAGTTTTTGATATAACTCAAATTTGCCATCCTGACAGAAGAGGGAAGAATGTGTTATTGTGCTGTACACAGTGAACGCTGCTGTACAAACGCTGCTACTGGCCTGGGGACTGAAGTCAGTCAGCTCCTGGGACTTGTCTGCTGAGCTGGGACCTCTATTGAGACGGTGTGCAACTAGGAAACTAAGTTGAACTACTTGCTCTTTTCCTGGCATAGGTGAGTTCGTGGAAAGCTGACTATTGTAAAGTGCTGTGGGTGCCTGGGGGTGGGGCTGTGCTCTGGGGCCAGACAGAGCTCAGCCACTGACAAGCTGCATATTCCAGAATGAGCACTGTAAACACTCTGGGCCTCAGCTTCCCCATCTGTACACGAAATGATGACCACTTACAGAGAGAAGGGAGAGCGGGCACATGAGAGATGTTCAGTTTCCTGGAATTCCACTAAAACCACCACCGTACAGTGCTGCCGAGTTAAAGCAGTGTTTTAACGATGACAGAAAAGATTACCAGTTGGGGATCTCTGTTTTCACAAGCAAATACAAGAGGACTGATAGCAGATCATCGGCGCACACGGTCTCCAAGTTCACTGCAAGGGGAAATGCATGTTCAAAGCCATCCTGAGGCTCCAGTGGCCCCCACAGGCCTATCTGCTCCCCTCCACCACCCAGCCCACAAAACCACAAGCCAGTAAGATTGCACAGCAGGGAGAAATTCAAGTGCACAATTTCCTTTACAACTAGTTCCCTGAAGACAGGTCAGGTTCAAGGGCAAACGGCGGCCTGACGTTCTCGGAGCTCGTGTGAAAGAAGGAAATACCAAGCAGGTCACCCCTCGCCACCTTCCTAGGTGGGCAGAGCCCAGGGAGGTCGGGGATTGCTCACACAAAGGAAGGGGTGCCCAGGGCCCCCCATGAGCCTCTGTTCTCCTGAGATTGATTTCGTCGGAGACATTGTAGAGGCTAATGTTGACATGTCACTTGACTTTGTATTGTTCACTTTGCAACTTCAAGTAATCTGTTTACAAATTTCAAAATCAAGTAGCGCAAAAGACCCAACCCTGACTGTCGCTCCATCCTTGCCACCCAGATTCTTTCCCAGCGCTCCTGCTGTTAAATCTCACACGTCTTTCCAGAGACAAGCCCACCATGCAGACCCTGACAGCCCACGCCTCTTTCTGTCATGCTGTGAGCGCTCACCAGGCACACTCCAGCTCATCCCGCTCCCTGCACTTTGATGGTCCCCTCAATCTGCACGCACAGATCGGTCTCCCCTCGCTTACTTTGTTTCGTTTTCTCTTTCATTATGGAAAAATGTTTAAATGTGCAAATTAGAGAGAACAGGCTAATGAGCAGGGTAAGCCCTGTGGAGCCATCAGCAGCCTGGCTCATGTCAGAGGCCAATGATTCTCCATCATTTTCTTACACTAATCACACCTCACATCACTGGGCACCTCAGCAGGACAGACAGTGGTGTGGACAGGCTGTGTGGTACTCACACTGGAAGGATCTGTGTGCACTGGCCCCTCTGATGACCCCTTAAGACAGTGCTGCTCCGGGCTCTCCCTAGTGACACGAGTCAAAGCGCAGCACTATGAAGCTCTCCGTAGCCTCTGCAACCTGAGTTCGACCCCCGCCCTGGAGGTGACCCACAGGGCGCGGCAGACCTCTCCTGTCTCCCCGCTGCTCCCTTCAGCAGTGTGCTTTGTCGATCTGCCTGTTCTGCTCCCCACTCTGTCTCTGGTGAGTCCTCTCACCACCCCTGCACCTCTGGCCTGTACCCCAGTTCTGTACGCATAAACAAATAAATCTTAAACAAAAAGTGAAAGACAGTGTTGCCTCACGACAGGCCTTGTCTCTGGATGCCTCCACCCCCGCCCTCCCCCAGCACCAACCTCTCTGGCTGGGAGACTGTGTGATGAGCTGCACGACCTTCCACACGCAAACCAGCTTCTGTTGCGGAGACGTGCACTTGTTGAGCTGAGCCAGCTCTCTCTTGGCACGAGGTATGTTGAAGCTGCAACATAATTTGGAGGGTGGCAAGGGTGTGAGGGCCGGTCCTCCTGGATCTGATAACACCTCAGATACACGTTGCTTACAACCACAAGGAAGGCGAAACAAAAACAGAACCAGAAGTAACATGACTCAAGTGTGTGGCAAAACAGCACCTTCAGAGGTCCCATCCAAGCTACAGATGTTAGAGCCGCACCAGGAAATCAGAGGAAGAAAGATTTAAAACCATCTCCGGGGTAAAATAGTTCAGAGGGGAAGAAAATTAAACCCAAACACTTAGACATCTTTGCATCCTAATGCAACTTGAATTAAGGATTGAAAAGGAGGCGCTTCTGGGCTCTCCCTTGTGGTACAACAAGTTAAAGCGCAGCACTGTGAAGCTGTCTGTAGCCACTGCAGCACGAGTTCGACCCCCAGCCAGGGAGTGACCCACAGGGCGCAGCAGACCTCTCCTGACCCGCCCGCTGCTCCCCTCAGCAGTGGACTTTGTCAATCTGTCTGTTCTGCTCCCCACTCTGTCTCTGGTGAATCCTCCCACCCCCACACCTCTGGCCCGTACCCCAGTTCTGTATGCATAAATAAGTAAATCTTAAAAAAGAAAAAAAAAAAAAAGAGCGTCCTGTAGCAGAGCCCCAGGTAGAATCAGGCTGTCAGGTAGTCTATGCACTGTACCCCCCTGGTCCTGAGACCACTCTGCAAGGCCCAGCTCTTGCAGCGCCCCCTGCTGGCATTTTGACAAAACCGCTGTCAGCTTTGTTCACCGTCCAAGCCGCTGAAACCTGAGCCCCAGCCCTCAGGACACCCAGCAGCTGCTGCAGCCCACACACACTTACCTGAACTCAGGTTTCACGCCAATATCTTTCTGCTGAAGATCTTGAAGGCTTCTTGTGATTTTGTTAAAAGCAGCATCCTAACAACAGATTTGAACAGCGGTTCAAGTTCCGTCCAAGGCACCGAGGAAAGGCTCTCATCGTGAGCGAGGCTGATCGGGACCTACCTCGCTCGCCTCCATGGTCCCCACATATTTAAAGACCAGATCGTAAATATCATGATGGACGTACATCTGTGAATCAGCAGGTCCAGGTCAGCAGAGGAGCCAGGAATCAGCAGGTCCAGGTCAGACCTGAGCCCGCCGCCGGCCCCGCTGTCTTACCTCCACGGCCTGCTTCATCAGGTTCATCTGCGCCTCCTGCTTGGCCAGCATTTTCTAGAGGACAGAAAAGCACGGTTAAAGGGCTCAGGTCTGCACCTTGGGCAAGCGGCAATCTGGAGAGTCCGGCTGCTCACCAGGTGGGAGTCCCGCAGAAGCTGCTGCAGGCATCTGGTATAGAGGGCGTTCACCGAGTCCTGGGCAACAGAGCGCACGGGTCACGCTCAGCGGCGGAGCCCATGACAAGCTCGCTGCTTCCCGGGCGAGGGCACTTCTCACCACATACACGTCCCCGGGCATAAGCTGGGGGGGCGGCTAGTGAGAGCCCCCCCACATCTCAATAAGGAGGCTTCTTTCCAACTTTGTTTTAAAGGTATATAGACATTAAAGATACGGAAAAAATTCCCTCCCCTTGGGGTTAACACAGACAACAATACTCATTATTAACACTTGGCCACAACTGGCAAGTTTTCTGCCGTGACTGACGCTGCTTATAGAGCTAGAAAGAAATACTGAAACAACACTTCCGGCGGTGGGGGCAGCCGGGGCTGAGAGAGAACTGACAGGGTCCCCATGCTCTGAGCTGCCCGGGACAGAGGCAAGCACGCTACTGACTATGTGGTGACGGAGGCTCTTCCTTTCACACTCCCTGAATGTTCGCTGGAAAGAGGCGATGTTCCTGTCAAATCTCTCCGTGTGTCTTCCCAAAAACTCCCTCACATCTTCGATGGTTTTCAGGGAAAAGGGATCTGAGGATGTGGAAGGTTCTTCTGAAAAACAGACAAGGGGTCAGGCTGGCTGGAGCCTTCACTGTTCCCCAGTGGGGGGTGCCGCAGCCTCTGTTCTGCTCCCACAGGGCCGAGGCCCAGTTTTCCAGGGGAAGCGGGGGAGCCTCATTCCGGAAGACTGCCTCAGAGCAGCCCAGCTATAGACCCTGGACTGGGGTCCAGAGAACCTAGGACCAAGCCAGATTATTTGGGCGTCCCTGGTGGTGCAAGGGGTTGAGTTTCTTCACCATGAAGTTATGGCAGCCACACAGCACGAGTTCCATCCCCAGCCAGGGAGTGACCCACAGGGCGCAGCAGACCTCTCCTGTCTCTCCGCTGCTCCCCTCAGCCGCATATTTCAGTCAATCTGCCTGTTCTTCTCCCCACCCTGTCTCTGGTGGGTCCTCTCACCCCCTGCACCTCTGGCCTGTTCCCCAGTTCTTGTTTGCATAAATAAATAAATCTTAAAAATTAAAAAAAAAAACAAAACAGATAATTTGGGACCATGGGCATGGCCTGTGAGACTCTCATTTAAACATGGCTGCTTGTCTGGACAGTGAAAGCATCAGGGTATATTTGCTACATTAACTGTTATCGCAGTTCCCGGAGCAGCCAAAGGTGGGCCTAACAATGAGACCTCAAAGAAGCAGGGGGCCGGGTCTGGGTGATTTCTCAGAGCTGGCCCTAACCCGAGGCCCAGAGAGCCAGACTATCCGGGCACAAGGCCGGGCGCGACATTCACGAGGCGGGAACTCCCAGCACTGTGCAGTATCCCAGCTGCGCGAACCCACACGGCAGCCCCCACCCCCTCCTCAGCCCTGAGACTTTGTGTCACTCAAACAGTGATGCGGGTTTCCGGCAGGTTCCTAAGTACTATATGGGAGGTTGGGGGCAGTTCTGTCAGGGCTAAGAGCGACAGACACAGCTCTCCATCCCAGGAGACGGGGCTTTCTCCCACAGTACCTGAGCTCTCCCGCTTCTCCAGGGGGTGTGCTATGCACAGAATGCTGAAGCTTTCTTCCTTTTCATTGTAGAAAGTTTCCTCGAAGAGGATGGGCACTGAGAGCAGACAGGCGAAGCCAGCTCCTAATTTAATCCTGTTCCCTTGTATGAAGACATCCTGGGGCGAGAGAGGGCGCCGTGTCAGTGGCTGAGGCGGCCACGGGCCCCTCGGCCGGCCCGGCGATGTCCCCCTCCCTGCCCGCCTGCAGCCACCGAGGTGCGGGACACACGCCCTCTCCTGCCTCGCTGTTAGCTTCTACCCTGCCTCCTCTCCGGTCACCCGGCGCTGTGGCCACACAGAAGAGGGCTTCTGGGCACAGAGACCTGGGGTCTGCAGCCCACTCTCTCCGAGAAGCTTAGCCGCAGGAGAGACAGAAAACAAAGCTGGCCCAGCACACTGACCAGTCTCGGGGAGGGAGGTGAGGCGAGTCAGAAACAGGTCTGAGACGCTCTCAAAACAAACATTTTTAAAAACTGAAGAATTCAGGCCTCCCTGGTGGTGCAAGGGGTTAAGTCTCAGCACTATGAAGCTACCTACAACTGCTGCAGCACGAGTTCAAGCCCCAGCCAGGGATGACCCACAGGGCGCAGCAGACCCCTCCTGTCTCCCCGCTGCTCCCCTCAGCAGTGGATTTCAGTCCATCTGCCTCTTCTGCTCCCCACTCTGGCTCTGGTGAATCCTCTCACACCCCACCCCACACATCTCTGGCCTGTACCTCAGTTCTTCCCTGTAAAAATAAATAAAATCTTTTTTAAAAAGATAACTATTATATTATTTTTTTTAATATTTTTTAAAAAATAAGTAAAAATTAAGAATTCACCCCTGATGCCTAATTTGTGTCCAAGACACCAATGAGCTCCAAAGGACATTGGGATAAGACAGCTCAATATCCTGTTGGGGTGTTCCAGGGGCTCCCCAGCTCATCAGCAGAAGTCCAGGCTGAGCAAGTAACACACCCCCCCCACCCAGAGCTGCAGCCAGGACCCTACTCATTCAGCCGCTCCTCAGAGGCAGGCCTCGTCGTCCCGAGCTGCTGTGTGCGCGTCAAGCCATCAGGGAACATTGCTGCAAGAGGCCCTCCCCGCCACACACACCAAGGAGCGACCCTGGCTGAGCTACAGGGAGACACACACCTTTCCGTTCAGGGTCTGAAAATGTTCTTCCACTGGGATCAAAATGTAGGACTCGAACTGGCAAGCAGACTGCACGTTGCTGGACAGGCTCCCTCTGCAGGGCACTAAGACCTGGGGGAAATAACAGGGTGAGCCTGGAGGGAGTCCCAGAACCAGAAGGAGCCAAGACTGCTTGGCCTGGGATTGTGGAGGCGTCTGCAGCGGGAGGCCGCCACCCATGGGTGGTGCCCCCACCCCAACCCGAGGGAGGAGGGGACAGGCCCTCATGGAGGACCTCAGCCTGCCGGCCGGCGGCTCATACCCACCACCCTGGCCCCACACCCACACACACACACACAATGGCGACCCGGTCTATCAGCAGGCTCAGGGCAGGCTCTGGGGGAAGAAAGGACAGTGTGGAAAACAGTGAAGCTGAGACGCCCACGTAACCCCGCCCGGATGACCCACACCGAGGACGACTCCTTCCAGTCTCCTTCCTAGGCGCGTTTTGCTTTGAAGCCCAACGGTGGTCATAGTCTGGAAGGTTGCAATGAAGTGACAGGAAGAGTTCATGACTGCCGGCTGCCACCGCCACCACCAAGGTCTCTCTCTGCAGAGCAGGCTCAATCTGCAGCATGCGTTCTGGTCCGACTGTGGCCCCCACAAAGACCGGCCTCTGCCCCTGGGCGCAAAGCAGGCGGCAGGCCTGAGCTCTCACAGCCCTTCCTGGCTCAGGGGCCTAGGAGCACCCCTCAGGCGCAAGAGCACCTGGCAGGGAGGGGGGGGCCTGTGTGCTCCTGTGGATGCCTGGGCTCCCCCCCCCCCCGCCCTAGCTGCCATGGGTGCGCTGCCGACAGAGCGTGGCTGGACACACTTGATGCATGCGTCCCGCTGACACAGACCCTTGTGGGGGCACAGCTCACATTCTGAGGGGGGAGCCTTTCCTGTATCCCCCTGAGTGAGGAAAGCAGCATGAGCCCCATGGCTCAGCCAGTGGTTCTCAGAGAGCTGGGCGAATCCTCCAGGCCGAGCTCACTCCATCAGACAAGCACCTTGGGAGAGCTGACTCCAGCCAGAGGCAGAGACGTACAGCACCTCTCGGGACCCCCAAGGTGAGCGAGGCCTCAGAGGGTAAGGGAACACCGTCCAATAGAGCAGGGTGAAAGTTCACATGAACCAACCATGAAACTTGAGGAAAGCAATCAGAATCAGCTCTTTTGGTAGCCGGACCCTGACCAGACCCTGTGGCCACCAGGAAGGAGGGCCTGGGGGCGCGAGAGGCTACCGCTCCCCAACCCTCCATTACTGGGTGCCCCGGACCCTGGAGGGGACAGCACCCACATTTCAGGGATGGCTGGTTGGTGGCAGGGTGGACAGTGAGGAGCCTGTCCTCTGGACAGGGAAGTGAAGGTGTGCCGTGGCCGTCCACACCCCCACACGCCAGCGTGAACACCTGAGGACAGGCTGCTGTGGCCCTGCGCTCCCCAACGGGGAGTCCCCAAGAGGGGATGGGCGTTGAAGTCTGAGCAACAGCTGCCCTTCCCCCAGCATGCCCACGTGTGGGCGCGGCTCCAAGCCTGTGTAAGTCCCCACTGTGCAGACCCAGAAATGGGCTCGACAGAGGCAGCAACTCGCCCTGGATCACCCAGCCGGGAGGGGTGGGGCCGCTGGCCTGGCCCCTGGCCAGTCCCGCCGCCTTCTAGAACCAGGGTGCAGCCTCCTTTGCAGAGAGTCATGCTCTCTGGAACCCTAGGGAGCAGCTGTCATCAAGCGCTTTGTCAGGCATCTGGAGAGAGCAGCTTAGCCCTCTGCCCGCAGAGGAATTGCAGGAGAGCCACTGAACAGACCCTGGCCCGCAAGTTCCCATGGGGGCTGTGCTTGGTGTGGTCGCCCAGCACCAGGAGAGACCAAGTGCCCGAGGTTTCTATCACCTCACATCACTGCTGGTTCAAAAAATGGTACGTCTGAGCATTGTACACCGGAGCTTCTGGGGAAGGTGCAGCTCTCCTTCGATCCTGATTGGCACAAACCAAGTATAAAACCCAACAACCAGAAGACGGATGGGGAAATCTGGCAGGTGTGAGGTATTTAACCAAAGGATTAATTATTGAGGAATTATTTTGCTGGGATGACAGCACTGTGGATTTTGTAAAAGAAAGAGGCCTTGTCATTTAAAAATACATCCCTAAATATTTATAGCTGGAATCACATGAGTGCCTTATATAATTTTCTAGAACTGGCTTCAAAATAATGCTGTGGCTGAGGGTAGACGGCGCAGGGCAGAAGTGGGTGTGGCTGAGGAGCCCGTGGAGGCCGAGTGATGGGGGCGTGGAGCTGACCCTTCTTTTCTTTCTACGTGGGCACGTTTGAGATCAAGCATAGTAATAATATATTTTAATAAAGGTGAGATTAAGTAAAGGAAAGCGAGGCCCTCAGGTAGGCGCCTGGGAAGAGACACCCCGGGCGGCCTCTTGGCAGCAGTGAGCACAGAAGGAAAGAGCCAGAGGGTGAGGGTTGGCTGTGGGCAAGGGACGGCCGTGAGGCCCCTCAAAGGGGCTGTCCACAGTCAGAGAGACTGAGATGGCCCCATGTCGTGGCCCCATGTGAAGGAGTCACCCAGTCCCACCCCAGGGTGAGCCTGAGGACCGGGAACTTCTGAGGTGCACAGGCAACTGTACCCCACCCACCCTACTCCCTGTGTACCTGCCTCACTGGCGCAAGCCTGGCCAGCTCCTCCGCATGGTGTCATCATGGGCACAGTCCATGGACAGTAGGTGCCCAGCAACGTTTGCTGCTCAAATAGGGAGGCCCCCAGTTTCAGGGACCCCATCAGTTTTCAGGCAAATAGCGACGGCCGGAGCATTTCATGACAAGCAGAACCCAGCAGCTGGTTCTCTGCTCCAGCCACCTCCTCGGAGTGGACACAGAGGTGAGGAAGCCAGCTGGACAGGGGGATGGAGCAACTGACCACAGGAGGCAGGGGCCAGTGGCCTGGGGGGGGCTCCCCCAGGGAGAGTCAGATGCCTTCTGGAACAGACATCATATAGTCTTGACACACAGTTGAGGATCACAGCACAGACCATATGCATTTCAAAGGCAAACAACAAAACTTTTTATTCAGTGTCTCATTTAAAGAAAATGACCACAATTAAAGAAAGGCCAGTAGGTAAGCAAGAATCGACATTTATGATACTGAGCTGGGAGTGCTCTCCTGTACGTTCCCCCAGACCAGCTGGGCCCCCCACGGAACCACTGGCAACTTCAGTCCTGCAAATGGCCTATTTCTGGAATCCCTGAAAGGATGCCATGCTCCCCACTTATCTGGAAACCCGGCACAGAGCCTGGCACACAGTAGCGGCTCAGAAACTGCTTGTGGGCTAAGTCTATACAAAATAAACCCCCATAACAGGAACATGGACCTCAAAGCTCTTAGGGGGCTATAAAGGTATTTTACTTGAAAGTTAGTTCTTTGGAACTTAAGAGACACGTTTCCAGACTAACCTTCAGAAGCCTATGCACCTTATAATTAAAGGGCCACAATGAAAGGATCAGATTTAACCTCCTTTTATAATTATTATTTTTCCTATAGGCAAAGGGACCAACCAGTCCATCTGGAAAACGTGGGGGACCTCCCATGATGCCCCTGGACACGGCAGGCACACAGCGGGCCCTTTGAAGAAGCCACAGCTGCGTAATCAGCTGGGCAGTAATAAGCACAGGGGTGACCGTGACAAGCAGTGTGTGGGTGCCCCGGGCCTCTGTGACTGGAACCTGGGAAAAAGGACTTCGGCTGTCCCATGAGGGACCAGGGGACACTGGAGGCCCCTGTCTGGACAGAGAGGTATCCCCATCAGAGGAAGACTTGGGAAGGAAGTCAAAGTCAAGGAATGGCCAGGGACAGAGGGCAGGAGAGGGACAGTCAAGAAGCACCCTCAGCTGCCACCCCCATCACACAAAAACAGGAAGTCCATGTGGCTTGTAGGGACAGTGTGAGGGACAGCTAACCTGGGGACCATTTTAAAATGGTGATTTCACCCCTTTTAAAGCCCACTAAGGGCCCTCCCTGGTGGCACAACAGATTAAAGCACAGTGCTATGAAGCTAGCGTCAGCCGCTTCTTCACGAGTTTGATCCCCAGCCAGGGAGGTGACCCACACGGCACAGCAGACCTCTCCTATATGTCTGCCTGCTGCTCCCCTCAGCAGTGTGTTTCAGTGGATCCACCTGTTCTGCTCCCCATTCTGGTGAATCCTCTCATATCCACACCCAGTTCTGTATGCATAAATAAATACATCTTTAAAAAAAAAAAAAAAAGTGAGCTTGAGAGAGAATCTATACTTGCTACTGAAAAAACCCTCCTGGGCACCAGGAACTGTGCTCCATGCTGGCAACTCGGTACTGACTGAGACAGCGATCCCCAGAGCTCACTGAGAAATAACAGCATTCCAGTGTGTGGTACTCTTTTTGAAAGCAGAAGGAAGTTACTTACAATATGTTTTGACCCAGACAGTATTTTTAAACAGAAGGAACATGCAAGTAGCATTTCTCGTATCAGGCCCAGCCCTCCCACCAGCAAGCCTGCACTGCATCCCACGCTATGTCTCGGTGACAATGACCACAGGTAGAATCTGTAGTTGCCCAAAGCATGCCCACTTCTCCCACTCGAGTCTAAGCTCCATGAGGGCAACAAAATGATGCATGTTCATATTTTCTGCAAAATCCCAGGGATCAAAGACTGCATAGAGCCTCATTTCACAACAGGTGTGGAAGGAGAGAAGACCATAAATGTCTTTGATGAGCTTGATGAGGTGAGATTTTTATTATCTTGATAACACTTGTATTTTCATATTTTTTCATGATGAATTTTAAAGCGTCTAAAATCCAAAGCACACAAATTCTGCGTAACATACATGAGTCATGACACTGATCACAAGACTTTAAGAAATCAGGCTTCTGGTGGCAGAGGTGGGTATGAGGAAGGCAAAAGGCAGCCAGGAGGCTCAAGTCAACCTGAGCTAAAATGACTCCTCTGGTGTGAGCCTTCAGCTGCCAGGCCGATGTGGGACAAGTCAGGCCACTGAAGGAGAGTGGGCAGTGTGGGGAAGAGGAACACACAGAAAGACTTCTCAAGCAGAGGCCACGGAGAGAGGGCACAAAGGTGCCCAGTGCACTGCCATCTGAGCAAGAGGCCTGCCAATCTCACCAGCGGGCCCTAAAGGTGAGGGTGTCTCCCTCAGGCAGCAGATGCTGCTGCCCCTCTGCCCCTGCAGGCCTCAAAGGGCCTTGGAAAGCCATGTAGGAACACCCCCAGCGGATCCCTTATTCTAGGGAGATGAGCACCCATCCCACAAAGGAGAACTCATGAAGCCATAGGAGGAACATCACTTCTACCCCTGCGAACCCTTCATGGTCAAATGGAAAACAAGAAGAACATGTACAGTGACACCAGCATCACCAGGAACTGAAAGTTCAGAGACAGGATGACACCCTGGACTGGTACAGTCCCAGGAGGCTTCCTGGAAGTTCACCACAGTCCCACTCAACTCATGACAAGCTGAGCATGGTCTGGGGCCCATCACACTGAGCAGACTGCAGCTGACTCACTCTGAACAACAAACGCTCATATGTGTCGGCCTCATCAGCAGTATCAGACGCACACCTAACGGAGAAGGACCATCTTGCACTTACAATGCCATGGATTTGAGCCACCTTGCTGCATAAGTCTGGACGCCACTTCTGAAGAGCCAGATAGAAAGGGTTTTTCAGTAGATCTTCATCATACATAGCCATATGGACTTCACACGGGGCAAAATGAGTCTCCTGGGATGAAAGGAAAAAGCAGTAAATGATCACTGTCAGACTTATATCCCACATAAAAGTCTTGATCTGGCAATTTCTAAAAAGTACCCCTGACATGGATGATTCTACTCTGCAGACTGTTTTCTTAGTCTACAGACTTCATACTCCATCAGGAAATATCAGAGATAACCCACCAATTCCAAGATGACTCTTTTTATTGATTAAATGAATAAATTATGTGCTGAAAATCCTGTCAAATGCTAAGTCATTGTAAAAGTAGAAATGGCTATTTTTTAGAACTTCTTACATGAAGAAAATTAAGACTTTTTAAAAATATGCATACATTTTAATTATATTTTAGGCATACAGAAAAATACGGAGTAATAATGCAAACCTACCGCCTAGAATTAGTAAATTTTAACAGTTGGCCGTATTTGCCACAGATTTTCTTTGACTAAAATACATCAGCATAGACTGGAACCCCTCCCCCCAAGTGTCTCTTTCTGATCCTATTCTTTGTCCCAAGCACTTCCCTAAAGTTTTGTATATTCTTCTTGACTACACTTCTATTCCTTTATTACTTATATCTCCATAGCCAATATAAAGTACTATTTTGTGGGTTTCAAACTTTACATAAACGATACACAGTAAGTATTCTGAACACACTCTTCTCATCAACATTATATTTTCAAGTCCATTTATGCTTAAGTCAGTCAGCTCTCATTCATTAATTTCTACTACTACATAGTATTCTTTCAATTGAACATGCCACGGTTTATCTAATATCCTATATGAAGTTGCTGCCATATTCTCAGATTTACAAACACTGTGGCAATGAACACTCTTATACCCTTCTGTGTTTCCTGAGCTCCTCCCTCCTGGGGGAGCAGCAGGAGGCATCTCCTGTATCCCCAGCAGATGTGACAAAGCTTTCTACTCATGCCAAGTACATGAGTTACCCTTCCTCACACCATATCCTAGCCAACACTTCCTGTTCTCATCAGGTTATCTCATTTCTCTGATTCTGTCAGTATAAAATAGTGTACCTCTATTTTCAATTTCATTTTGCTACTAAAATGGAAATAATTTCCTTATTTTCTATGAATTAGGTCTTCTGCTGTTGGCCTTTTCCTTGTAAGTAATGCTTCTTTATATAGATAATACTAAAGATGTTGCAAATAGCTTCTCCCAGTCTATGACTAATCTTTGCAATTTTCTCAAATGAGTGTTTTCAGAAATAGAAGTATGTGGTTTTAACGTGGTTTTACTTGTCATTCTTTGCTCCAATGCTTTTTGGCTTGTAGAAAATCTGCCTCTCATGCTGGCATGCTTCTTTGATTTCCCGTATCAGGGGGTGGCTTCTACTTCCCCTTGGTTCTGAGTCAGTCCTGCATTTTGTTTTAATCAAGCAAAAGACAGAATTTACACTCTGACTTCTGAGTGTCAGTCTCAAGAGACACCGAAGATTCCACTTTCATTCTCGGATACCCCAAAGTAGCCATGAAGGAGCCTGAGTGATGAAAGACTAGAAAAAGAGGCCCAGGGGGCCAGGTAATCACAGTTGACAGTCAGCTAAAGTTCAGCTGAGACTAGAAGAAGCGCCAGCCTATCCACAGAATAGTGACTAATAATAAATTGTTTTTAAGCTGCTAAGTTTTGCTCTTGTTTGTTATGTATCAAAGGTTAACTGAAACACATTCTTTTCCACTTGAAAGCCATAAAAATATTCTATAATGTCTATATATCTCAAAGTTTTTCATTTTTACTTCTTCATCTAACTTTTATCGACACTATAAAACAAGCATCAAATTTTATTTTTTTTCTGTGTGGTGAGCTGTCTAATCTGTGATCTGTAACAAAATACCAAACTGGTAGCATAAACAACAAACATTAATATCTCACAGTTTGGGAGGCTGAGAAGATAAAGATCAAGGTGTAGGCAGATATGGCTCTTGGTGAGGGCCCACTTCCTACCTTACAGATGGCCAATTTCTTGCAGTGTCCTCATGACACAGAAAGAAGGCTCTCCCTTTTCTTCCCCTTTTTGCAAGGGCTTCAATTTTATCAGGAGGGCCTCACACTCATGACTGATTCTAATCCAAATTAACTCCCAAAAGTCTCACCTCCAAATACCATCATATTAAAGATTAGGCTTCATTGGATGTGTGTGTATGGGGTGGTTGTGAGGGGTAAAGAAGTCACAAACATTCAGTCCATAGCATAAACCAAATCATTTTTTTTTTTTTAAGTCCTCCTAACTGATACTGGTACCTTTGTTATCTTCTAAGACCCCACATGTTTGGGCTATTTCTGGGGCTAATTCTGGTATTTACTGTTTCAGTGGCCTCAGTAAGTCCTATTATCCAACATATATCTATAAGAAAGTAACTACATACATATTATGTAATTTTTAATTTGCTATTAATAACATTAAAAACGAAACTAGTGAAACTTTTAATGTTTTATTTATCTTAATGTATCTCAAATATATTTTAACATATGATCAGTATTTGAAGTTACTAATAACATATTTTGCATTGTAATGTGTAGACTACTACTTTATGTGACTACAGTTTCATAACAAGCATTGATATCTTGTAAAGTAAGTACTCCCCTATCTTGTTTTCAGAAATTGTCTGGTCATTCGGAATTTGTTACAACATTAGATGCATTAAAATCAATTTAACAACTTGAGAGTTTTTAATGACCTGGAAAGTCAACATCTTTCTTACAAGGAAGATTATCCATGAACATGGTATATCTCTCTGTGTACATCTTCTATACCTTCCAATTAAATGTTCTCCACAAAGATCATGAATCACATACTTTTATTACTGTACTTACATGTTCTACATAGATTTTACTACTGCCGTGAAGGGGCCTTCTTTTCCCCTAATCTGCTTCCCTTACCACACACAGAGTGATCTGAGTTATCAGAGAGGAATATGAAAAATGAGTACAAAAAGAAGACAGAGTTCATTCCACCTCTCTGAGCCTCATCACACTCTGTGCAATGGGGACTATTAATACCTGTTTGTGCAACTTCCATTCACATGCCACCCTCACTGTTTTTTACCATACCACATTTGCAGAAGAATTAGAAAAATGTGATTTTCCCATTGGATGCAGCACTATGCTGGGGCATGTAAAGTGATTAGCTCATAGGCTATATATGGGCCCCATACACTCTCCACCCCTGCACAGTGAATAATCTGTACAATTAAACACGTCAGTTCTATTCTTAGTGTTTTCCCTTTAAACACCTACTCCCTTTTAAAATGTATTTTTAAAAAGCCAGTAATACTTTAAATGGAAAAATGGTACCACTTCCCTTAAAGAGAAGACAACCATAAATTTTTAAATTATTAAAAACAACTGGCATTATCTAAAACCTTGCTAGATACTATTGCTTGCTAAAAGTTCTAACTTTGAGCTTAAGGTCTCTTCTTTTCATTAAAAAGAGAAAATTAGCAGTTGTTAAAGAGCATCAACATATTCTTGATACAATCAGATGAGTGAAAAATAAATGAAAAATGAAATTACTTTCTATCTAACAATATTCCATAACAACAACATCCATTTGAGAGTATCTTTAGTCCGGGCACTCTAATAATGTCTATGCATCCTTATCCCACTTTAATGCTCATAAAACTATAGTTATCATTAACCCCATGTCACTAATAAGGAAACTGAGGCTCAGTTAGTTGACTCAGGTGATATCAAAATTTATTCTAAAATCCACCCCTTTAACCATGACACCCATCATGTGAAATAAATCTGTCTGGCTTAGAGGATACTTCATGAGCCAGAGGCAGACAGAAGTCATATTTCATTTTCCTCAAAGGTCCTCATGACAAAAAGCTACACAGCTCCCACAATGAATTCCCTCAGTCTGCTGGCCAGAGCTGTCTTGGCTAATACCCCTCCCAGGGACTGCCTGAAGGAGGTCCCTGAGCCCTCCCTGCCAGTCCTATCAGGGAGAAGAAGCTGGCGTAAAAATGGCTAAGTAGAATCCCTTCCTGGCCCCAGAGACAAATCCACAACAATTCAGGTATTGAACTGCTAAATTCGATTATTACTGGAGCCCAGATAATCCCTTTGTGAGTCCACCAGAAAAACTGGGTAATGAAAGTTTGCTGTGACCGTGACAAGAAAACATAAATCCTTCCTGACACAGTTGATCCTCTATGTGGCTGGGCACAGCAGTCAAGATGCTTTGTACAAAACCACAGGAGAACAGGCTGTGATATGCTTAGACAGGCTGGGAGGGACACTCTTTCTGTCCCTCAGACAAGATACTGGCATGGTGACAACACCGCCATCCCAGATGGAGGTGACAAGGGTAAGCTTCAATGGAGGAGCTAAGAAGCTGGCGGACAGGGGAGGAAAAGGCACCAGAAAAGTGCAATGCAAATCTAGAAAGGCCCTGGGAGGGGCAGGCACAGCCAGGGAAAGGAGAAGTGGGGGCGGGGGCAGGGAGGGGGGGGGAGGATGAAGGAATAAAGGAGGCATCCCTGGAAGAGAAAAGATTCAGGAGGCAAAACAGGCACTGAGACCCCAAAGCAGACTTTTTGGCACTAAATAAGATGAGTCCAGGAAAACAGTATGAATCAAAAAAGAGTGAGTAGGAGAAGGGAAACACAGTAAGGAAGGGACCTGAACACATCAAACACTCAAATGGTCCAATGACAAGCCACGCTGGAGAACAGGACAGCGCTTGCTGTCACTTAGCTCCGGATCATCTGCTTTTCCTTGGACATCAGTCCTCCTGGGTGCCAGAGTCCTCGTTAAGGCACCATTCCCAGCCTCTGTCCTAGTGTTATATGCACTATGTAAAACAAAACAAACAAACAAAAAAAACCACACATGCCTCTGGTCCTTAATGCCAGAGTCGAATCCTTATATAGGAGTGACTGGTTAAAATGGACTTAGTAGGCTGACAAGCTGAATTTCAAAATCAATTTCATGTTTTAAAGCAACAGGCAAAGTAAACCAACTGGAAACATGACTAAATTCTCTTTTAAATCCCTTTAATAAAAAAATCCCTCCCTCTACTCCCTTGTAACCTCCCCAGCCCCACCTCAACCCACATGATGGTATGATTTGCAGCTATGTGACTTTACTGTATTAGCAGGAGAGTCAAGCCTCAAGCCAGTACTGGGCATTTTAGGAGGTGGCGGTTTTATGGTCTTCAACTGCCCTGCTGGCCCAGATGAGTCGGGTGGCCAGGGCTCATCTGGTGAGAGCGTGCAGCCTGGCTCAGCAGAATCCAGCCCAGGGAAGTCTGCACCTCCCAGAAACGCTCTCCCTGCCAAAATCTCCCTGCTGAGGCCGCTGCAGCTCTTTTAAGACCTTGACCAGATCCTGACTAGGTCCACTTTCCAACTCATGAGTAATGTTCTCCAGCTGCTTTAATATGTGATACAGAAGTCAAAAAAAGAAAACTTTCTATCCCTCTACCTTAACAATCAAATGAAAGCAATCTGATGATGCCATGCATGGTGTCCCATCACCAGTATCCTTCTGGCCCATCACATCAATGGATCCTGTCCATATTTTTCTCGAAGCACACGGCCAACACCTGGCTCACAGCAGGCACACAAAATTGTTCATTGCTGGAACAAAATGAGAGTGTAGTATTCGAGGAAGCTCAGCTCCCAGGGAGAGTTCCTCTCTCACAGGAGCTGGAAACAGCCCATAGCCAAAGAAGAGTGAAGGGCTGGCCCTGGGCAGTAGCCCTGAAGGCTGACACTGGCCAAAAGTCCACAACAGAGGGTGTGCTGGGAGCCGGCCAAACACAGTGACAGCTGCAAAGTGAAGAGTCAGAGGGGGAGAGAAGGGTGTGGGAGTGGGGCCTGACAAGGGAGCAGAGAAATGTAAGGGAGTCGCTCGGAAGACACAACGACCTCACCCTGCTCCTGGAGTGGCTGGGGGACCATCTGCACCCTCTGCCCTGCTGGTCTCTTGGTCCAAAGGGCGGCAGCTCCGACAGCTGCTTCTCAGTGTCGCTCAGATCCAGAAGGAGCCTCAGGAAATCGGGTCTGGATGCTTCAGGTCTGTCTAGGCCTGGCAGCTAACATCACAGAGCCCCATTCCTTTGCTCTAGGCAGAAGTTACTGGATCCCAACCTAACGCTGGTGCTTCATCAACAGAGGGAGAGCACAGGCAAAAATGCTAAAGCACATAGACACCTGAGTACCAAGAAACAAGCCACTGCCCTCACGAGGGTGACACCACCCGAGAGCCACAGGGAGACCTCGACCCCTGCCTGCCCCTACACAGATAGTCCTGCTCTCTCTCCCAGCCATGATGCCAGGCAGGTTTATTTCAGTGACAAGCCAAGATGCGGGTGCTCACCCAAGGTATCAGTTAAAATATAAATCTAAAATAAATAAATAAATAAATAAAAATAAATAAATCTACCCAATTTCAGACACCACCGCTTTCCAGCTGGGCTGGTCAGAAGTATCTGTTCCTGTTATCTCTCCTTGTAAGGGTGCTTCAGGCTTGCACCCACTGGATCTCGGCCAGACCTGTCTTCCCGAAAGACAACAAAGTGATGGGCTTGAGGTCTGTGCAGTATTATGCAATGACTTCCCTTCCGCCTTATCAGATCTCAACTCCACAGCTTGACACTGGGGGCCTCTCACTTCCGATCTCCAATGCAGGACACCCATCTTGCAACCTCTTCTCCCTCTCTTGTCCCCAAAGCTCCCACACAGAGACAGATGAGGGGGACGTGGGCAGTGGTCTCTCTTCTTTTTCTTCTGTGTGCTTTGTCCTGAAAATTACCATTCCCCGCCAAGTTCCTTGAGTGGCCCTTGAGTAAGTGAGACCTTGAACCATAGAGAATGGCCAAGGCCTGGGCCCTGGCCATGAAGAGCTGCCAATCCACTGACTGAAGAACTGACCCCTGAGTGAGAGTGCATCCAGGAACCCAACTCTGCACTTACAAAGCTGCCTCAACATCCTGGTGAGGTCATCTCAAAATGTTAATATCCCCTGCTCTTCTCTAGGGTTGACCCAAGGTGCACAGCTTAATTAAAACAGGGATCTCTCCGCCCTCCCTGGTGGCGCAGCGGGTTAAAGCACTGCACTGAGAAACTGAAGCCACTTCCGCATGAGTTCGATTCCCGCCTGCCCCGGAGGTGACCACATGGCGTGGCAGACCTCTCCTGGCCCGCCCGCTGCTCCCCTCAGCAGTGTACTTCATTGATCTGCCTGTTCTGCTCCCCTTTCTGTCTCTGGTGAATCCTCTCACCCTCCACATCTCTGGCTTGTACCCCAGTTCTGTATGAATAAATAAATCTTTAAAAAAACAAAACAAAACAGGGATCTCTCTCTGTGTGACCCATAAACTCAGTAAATCCCAGCTCCCCTGCAAACTGGTAGTCCCTCCAGTTCCGCTAGCCTCATGCCCTTAATGGCCTAAACCCTCAAAGAAGACAGGTGCCACTTACTGCCACCGCCAGCATCCCCCTCATATCTCTATCACCTGGGCGAGTGGCCAGCGGAGCAAGGACTCAGAGCCTCTGAACAGTCCATTCTCAACGAAAAGAACTGGACAGACCCAGAGCCCAGAACATCGAAGTTGCTTAACATTTTTCCTGGAGTCATCCTTGCCCAGCAGAACCAGGAGTCTCAGCGAGATTCCCGTCTTCTTTTGCACCTTCATCACGACCGGAGGCGACAGTCGCCTAGCCCAAGGTTCCAGAACCCCCTACCACTGCCAGCCCTCCACTCGCAAGGGCAGGCAAACCTCGGCCATTACTCAGCCCGTGGGCGGGACCTTTTCAACGCCTTCATGTCCGAGCTCCCGGGACCCCGAACCCTCCGCCCGTCTCGGAGCCGCGAGGGTCAGAGGGCGCATTCTTTACCCCGCCTCTCCCAATCCGGATACAAAGAGCAGATCGGTAAAGAGAGCCCCAGTTACGGACGAGATCGGGGGGGACGGGGGGGGGGCACTGGTCGGGCGGTCCACTCAAACAGAGCCCAGGACCCCGAGAGCCGCCCCGCACTGGCTGGGGCGCCGCGGGGCGCCGGCCAGGGTGAGGAATGAGCCCCTCCCCCTCCCACTGGAGGCTCCGCCCGGCCTTAGACCCCGGGCGCAGCCGCCCGGAGGGAGCGAGGCACGGAGAAGCCTGGAGGAAGGACACTTACTTAAAGGACTACATAGTTTCAGTCCCTGCCCTTCCCGGAGCCGCGGCGACACCTCCCGGCCCCTCGGCTTGGACCTCAGTGCCCATCACCCCTGCGCGAAGGCGCTGCTCTACTATCCAGCCTCCGCTGTTGGGCGGAGCCTCGCTCGATCAACCCAATGAGAGGCCGTTCTTAGCAAGAGTGACGTGAGCGCAGAGCAATCATTCCGCCCTCCCGGTCGGGGGGTGGGGCCAAGCAGCGCAGAGCTCTTCCTACTCTGACCCGACCAGCCCAGAGCCGCCGACTGCGCGTGCCCGGAGCCGGAGGGGCGGGGCCAAAGGCAGAGCTGACACTAGGGGTGGGGTCCCAGGCCGGCGCTGGGAGTGTGCTGGACCCCGGCAGGGGGACCCCAGAGTCCGCCCGCGTCGCAGACACCCTTTACAGCTCGCGTTAGGGGACCGAGGTGCCCAAGCCTAGGAAGCACAACTCGTCAGCGGCAGGGTCCGGACCCCCTCACTTGAACAGACGCTGCTAAGCCTCCCTCCACCCCCTTTTTTAACTTGGACCTCAGTTTCCCCATCCGTAAAATCCCGACGAGTGGCGTGGGTCAGCCGAGGACCAGTAATTCAGAATTGTAAAGGGGTGCGGAGGAGGGAAAACGGGGCCTGCACGTGACCCCCCGGTCCCAGGGATGGAAGCACACGCGAGGACGGGCGGGGTGGGCGGATCCTGGAAACCCGCCCGGGCCGCCCCGGGCAGCGGCTAAGGGGGAGCGCGCTGCGCGGTGGCCCGCCAGCCCGGGCGACGGCACCCGAGGAGGATGGGGTCCGCCACTGGGACCTCGCGGGGTGCCGTCGTGGAGGCGAGGGCCGTGCGTCGACGCGGTGTGTCACACGGGGCGCGTCTGGGGGAGATGGACGACAGGATGGGGGGCAACTAACGGGCTCCCCTCGGGTCTGTGGAGGCGCCCAGCGCGGGTCGGGATCCGGCTGCGTCAACACACAGCGGCGTCTGTCTACCTTGCATCGGCCTTGCGGGGCTCGCGGGCAGCCTGGCGGGGAGCCGCTGTCGGGGCAGACGGCGTCCTGCAGCGCTGAGCGCGCGAACTAGAGGGGTGCTGGGGGCCGGAGCGCACCGCCATGGCGAGAGAGGAGTGCAGGGCGCGGCTGGACGTTCTCAGCAGGGCCACCGCGTGCTACCACCATCTGGTGCTGACCGTCGGCGGCTCGGCCGACTCGCAGAAGCTGCGTGAGGAGTTGCAAAAGACCCGCCAGAAGGCGCAGGAGCTGGCAGTGGCCACCTGCGCCCGGCTGACGGCCGCCCTGCGCGACCGCAGTCTGGATGCCGCTGAGCGCGCCGAGTTCGAGCGCCTCTGGGTGACCTTCTCTGGCTGCCTGGAGCTGCTGGAAGCGGACATGCGGCGCGCGCTGGTGCTGGGCACGGCGTTCCCATTGCACGCGCCGAGGCGGCCGCCCGTGCGCACCGGCGTGGCTGGAGGCTCAGCGGGCATCGCGGCGCGCGCCCTGAACACTGGCAGCCCGCGGCGCGAGGCTGACAGCGACTTCGATGTGCGAGACCTGCGGGAGCTGGAGCGGGAGCTCCTTCAGGTGGGCGAAATGATACAAGCCATGGAGATGAAAGTCAACGTGCCGCGCTGGACCGTGCAGGCCCGGCCGTTGGCAGGCGCCGAGCTCCTAGCCAGTGCCAGCGCCAGCGCCTCCTCGATGTCCATGGAAGAGCGCGCGGGACCCTGTGACCTGAACAAGGTCATGGCCGCCGCCGTTTTCAGTGCAGTGCTGCTAGTGGCGGGGGCCCTGGTCGTGTGCGTGGCTAAACTGAGCTGACCGCCACCGCTCCCTGCCTCTCTGAGAATATGCCCAACTGCCATGTGTGATGGCGGTGGGATCTGGCATTTTTAGGGGAAATGGACCTAACACCGTGTGTGTGTGTGTGTGTGTGTGTGTGTGTGTGTGTGTGTGTAAGAGACAGACACACAGACATATAGACAGAGAGAGAAGACGCGTTTCAACCACGGGCAAAACATAACTTCCTCGTGTTGGCCCAGAAAGAGTTAATTTTTCGCGGGGGGTGGGGGTGGGGGGCGCCAGGGCATTACCACTAATGTATGCAGAGCTTTATCCCCTATTAACAGAAAATGGGCCGCAGTGACCCCAGATTCCTCAGAGTTAATGGGTTATCACGTGTGCTTAGTATTTTCATGATCCTGACCCTGAGCCCCGCAGCACCCCCACCCCTGTTAGCTACTTTCACCCTTCCACACCGGCAGTTTAAAAGGAGGATGAAATGAGGCATAGGTTTTAGTGTTTTGAGGGGAAGAGGGCTTGTTTTGCAATGTGGGTGATAGTTTGTTTCCGGAACAAGAAACACATTGCAATGAGATGCAAGAAGTTTTTATTACCTTCATCCTTGGGACCTAAATTTAAGAGTGTACAATTGTGCTTTGGGATAGGCTATTCATTAGTCACAAAAGCAGCTACAAGATGTTTTGGGTGATCTGTGCCTTGGGTCTCACTTGACTTAGGAAACCAGAGAAGACTCCTTGAAGGGGCCCTGATGGATTTGGGTCCACTGTATGTATTGCCTACCTGGAAGGTCTTTCTGCAGTTGTGCTGGGAGGGTCCCCAGGCTATTTAAATGGTCACATTCTCCTTCCTGAGGCTTCTTTCTGTTCCAGAACTAGCCCAGAGTTTTTGATCCTCCTTTGGGGGAGGGCTGTGGAATCCTCTTTGGAGGCCTTAATCCCAGCTATCTCTTGGAATTTGCTTGCTGGCCAGTAGGAGAGCTGGCTTTGGAGGGAATTGCCTGGCCCTCTGACCCAGACACTGCCCTTTAAGACATCAGTGGTACACAGAGATTTTGAACCAGCTAGCGCTGGAAATGCGTGATAATGTTACAGCTTTGATTTGGAATTTGAGAAACTTTTTTTTTTTTTAAGATTTATTTATTTGTGCATACAGAACTGGTGTACAGGCCAGAGGTGCAGGGGTGGTAAGAGGTTTCACCAGAGACAGAGTGGGGAGCAGAACAGGCAGATGGAGGAGGTACACTGCCGAGGGGAGCAGCGGGCGGGTCAGGAGAGGTCTGCCAAACCATGTGGTCACCTCCGGGGTAGGCGGGAATCAAACTCATGCGGAAGTGGCTTTAGCTTCTCAGTGCTGTGCTTTAACCCGCTGCGCCACCAGGGAAGGCCAAAACTTTTTTATTTTTAAGTAAAAATAAATTTATTTATTTAAAAAGAAAAACAGGCACCTGCATAGACACAGGCAGGCAAGAGAATTGCCTGTGAAACTTTTTAAAACTAAGAATCGTTGTAAAGACAAATCACATAACCAGAGTTTGATAAAGGACATTTCTTATTCCAATAAGTTCAATGCAAACTGTCCACTTTACTTATGTACTTAGGTTACTAAATACACATCTGCAGATAGTTTTACAACAGATATTCTTTAAAAAAAAAAAAAAGGATTTATTTATCATACAGAATTGTGTAGGCCAGAGGTGCTGGCGCAGTGAAAGGATTCACCAGAGACAGAGTGGGGAGCAGAACAGGCAGTTGGAGGAAATACACTGCTGAGGGGAGCAGGAGGGGAGACAGGAGAAGTCTGCTGCACCATGTGGATCACCTCCGGGGTCAGGGATAGAACTTGCACTGAAGTGCCTCGGCCAGCTTGCAGTGCTGCGTCCTCACCTGTTGCATCACCAGGGAGGGCCTTACAACAGATATTCTTAAGGGCACGAGGTCACAGCACAAACTGGACTCACAGATATAGATGCCAAGTGTTAAATGATATCTGTTTTTATGGCCAATAAATAAGGAAATGTGGAAAACCCCCTGGGGCTCAGCGCCTCCCCCCTTCCACCTATGATCCAGAAAGAGCATTGGCAGGAAAACGAAACTGAGAAAACACATGACTTGAATTCACTAAAGGTAATTTGGATCAGAACCCAGAGACTTTGGCTTGAGTGAAAAAATAACAAGGACTTACTTTTTTCATTTTTGCCACAGAACTAAGAAAGGGGGTCAAAGGAGGGAATTAGCAGTTCTTTCATGAGTGCAGAGGGCCAGGGGGCAGCAAGAGTCCTAAGAACCACCCTCCCAACCCAGCCCTCCCCTCTCTCTTGCTCCTCAGTGCAGAGTCTATTCCCTTCAAGAACAAATCATGAGATTTGCTTTTGAATGTCTGTGATCATGGTTTTCAAATACCCAAAGTGCCTTAAGCAGATTAAAAGTTTTATAGCAATAGGGCCCTCCCTGGTGGCACAGCAGGTTAAAGCACAGCACTATGGAGCTATCTGCAGCCACTGCAGCATCAGTTCGATCTCCGGCCAGGGAGTGACCCACATGGCGCAGCAGACCTCTCCTGACCCGCCCACTGCTCCCTTGAGCAGTGTATTTCGGTGGAGCTGCCTATTGTGCTCCCCACTCTGTCTCTGCTGAATCCTCTCCCCCTACCTAGCACCTGCACTGCACACCCCAGCTCTTGTGTGCATAAATAAATTTTTTTTAAAGATTTATTTATTTATTCGTACAGAACTGGGGTACAGGCCAGAGATGCGGAGGGTGAGAGGATTCACCAGAGACAGAGTGGGGAGCAGAACAGGCAGATCGATGAAGTACACTGCTGAGGGGAGCAGCGGGTGGGTCAGGAGAGGTCTGCCACGCCATGTGGTCACCTCCAGGGGATCGAACTCATGCGGAAGTGGCTTAAGCTTCTTTGTGCTGTGCTTTAACCCGCTGCGCCACCAGGGAGGGCCCTAAATAAAATTATTCTTAAAAAAGAAGAAGAAGAATGTGAATCCCAGAGTTTGAGCCTGGACATCAGCCCAAGAGCTCAATTGCTGTGGGACTTAGCTCTGCCTTCCTTAGGGGGTACCTTTCCCACTGGCCCAACCAATTGCCTCAGTCCTCAAGCACCTCAGACAAGTCACTGATCTCCCTGTGCCTCCCTTCCCTGATTGTGAAATTGGAAGGCGTGACTGACTGATGCAAAAGTTCCCGCCAAAGTGTAAACATTTAACAGAATGAAGCTAATTAAGAAAGGGTTGCTTTGTTTGTTTAGGCTTGGGGGGGGATTGTTACGGTTGACTTAGTGCATATTGGAATTGCAGTTTTTGTTCCAAATCAGTCTGTTGGTAAAATTCTGTATTAACTTTAAAATCAGAATTAGCTTAGTTTACTGTAACGTTAATCCATATCAGAATTGGAAGATGGATTTAAAAGCAAATTTACTTATTATAATAATTAAGATTAGGAATTTGAATTCAGACTCTGAGTCGGAGAGAACCTAGTATTTATTAAAGGGTTAATTTTACTCAGCTATTAGGCCACTTAAACTGATCTGATTTCTCATTTAAGCGGGCAGAATCCTATTCTGGTGTCCCCAGAACTGCAGCTTCATTACCTGCCTGAGGTAAATTTGAGTGCAGCAGTGATTGTTTTGTTTGATTTTTAAAATATTTAATTTATTTTTATGTTGAAGAACTGGAGTTTAGGCCAGTGAGGGTGGGGTGGGACCAGTAGTGAGAGGCTTCACGAGAGACAGTGGGGAGCAGAACAGACAGATCTATGGAAATACACTTCTGAGAGGAGCAGCGGGTAAGACAGGAGAGGTCTGCGGCGTCATGTGGGTCAGTTCCCTGGCTGGGGATCGAACTGGTGATGTAGTAGCTGCCCATAGCTTCATAGAGCTGAGACCTAACCCTTTGTGCCACCAACGAGGCCCCATCAACAGGGGTTGTCTTGTTTGTGGTATCAGATATAACATGGAATTAAAGGCTTCATGTCTGCTCTTTAAATGAGGCTAACTAAAATGTCTATTACTAAGTAAAACATTTTAAAATGTCATGCAACATTTATAATTTAGTAGGGCAAGACACCTTAAAATGATTCAGCTATGAACTATTGTGATTTTTAAAATAGTATTAATTCCCATACACATTTAAATTGAACTGAATGTCGCTGGTCAACATATTTACCCTTCACATATTTCATTACATAAAGAGAAGTCCAGAAATACTCCAGGATCATAAATCTCCACATGATTTTCTATAATAAGCACAAAAGATGATTATACTCATTTTTTAATTCAGTATAGAATCTGGGAAGAATAATAGGTTTCCATGCAATCTATGGCTGTTGATAACACAGATCAAATTCATGTTCAAAGACTGTCTCTTAGGCTCTTAGGAACTGACCAAGGTCACATGTGTCCAGGAGGACAAGATGGGTTTCTGAGGTATTCTGCTCTTTCATTTACTTTTCCTTATCTCATTCCACAGAAGATTCTGGGTATTCTCGTTGTAGTATCATGAAATCTTGAGCACCCTTATCTTTGGGGTTTGAATTCAGAGCTTTGAAATGTTGAGACTTATATGACAAATGTAAATAAGCCAAATAAGTGTTGTTGTTGGAAAACTTACACTGAAGAGTCCTTATCATATATTGTTGCCAGAAACAAAATTGAGTGTCTCCTGTTCAAGTTTATTAGGCGCACAGAGAAGAACTACAAGGAAATAACACAGAAGTGAAAGTATGTTCAGGTGATGGGATTATAAATGGTATTTTTCAACATTTTTATTTAATATTCTTATGTTGCTTTTACAATAAAAATTTAAATGCTCTTACATATAGAAAACATTGTTATTAAAACAGAACTTTACTTTTTTTCTTTTTCACTTTTATTTTCATTTATTTTCTGCTGAACTCATCCCTGGGCTCCTTCAGTTTCTTCTGGGATTTTTTTCTTCTGTGCAACCTCCTGGTGTAGGAATAATCTGCTCTTTGGTAATGAGATTGTCTCAGTGAGGCAGGTAGTACCAGCCGTGAGCTCTGCAATTTCTACCCACATCTTGGGGGTGGTTCACCTGGATGTACTCGATGACCCTAAACCCTTGAGTCCAGGATTTCTCTGCATTTTTAAGCAGGTACAGTAAAACTTCAGCATTGCTTTTCAGGGCTGCCCACCCTGCCTGGAGCCCCACTGTTTGGCCTGGGCCAGCCCCCCAACTCCCCCATCGTAATGCAGGAGCGACACAGTTTGCGTATGCAGCGACATCTGTAAGTGCTTGGTGGCTTTTCAGATAGGCACCCCCTAGATGGCCTGGGTTTCATGAGCGCTCTTAAAATAGTCATGAAGATTTGCATGACTTGTAGGGTTCTCTGAGTCAAGTGTGTAACAAACCATTTTCAGTAATCACCTATGGCCACCAAAATAAAAAATTTCAGAACCTTCCCCAAAGAGCAAAGCAAAACACTGTTGGCTTCACTGCAGGGAAGCAGAAGCAGGTTTTTCTCTGTGTTGAAACACAGCGGCATTGCTTTGAAGACACTGAGCAAGAAATATTTCAAACCAGCTCTCACTCAAAAATCCCTTAATCTCTGTGGCCTCGATTTCTTTATTTTTATAATGATGGAAATAAAAGGTATCAAGTTCCTGATCCACAGAAACTGTGAGGTATCTGTATAAATGTCTATTGTTTTAAGCCACGAAGTTTTATAGGAATTTGTTAGCAGAGTGAGATGAGACTTTTTCCAGCTATAGGGCTCAGTATATGTTCCACTGCTGTCTATAACTGTTAAAACTTGGGCCCTCCCTAGTGGCTCAGCGGGTTAAAACACAGCACTGCGAAGCTGGCTGAGGCAGCCTGGGTACCAGTTCAATCCCCACCCCAGAAGTGACCCACATGGCTCGGCAGACCTTTCCTGACCAGCCCGCTGCTCCCCACTTGTTCTTGAGTGATTCCTCTCACCGCCCCTGCACCTCTAGCTTGTACCCCAGTACTGTATGCATAAATAAATTTAAAATATTATTGAAATTTTGAATAGTGGGGGGCAGGAAACAGTAGATATGAAAATTTTAACTTTCTATAACAAAACCTGCCAAAAATCAGTTTGACGGTCAAACTAGATATACATGTCAAAATGAGAGAAGGTATGTAATAAAAACGGTAAAGCTTACAGATGGTAACTCCAGTTCATCTAGAAGTTGGAATCTAGACATTTTTAAAGTCAAATTTATTGAGGTATTTCAACACAGGGATCGAACTCATTAGGTAGCAGTGATAGTGCTGAGACTTAACCCCAAGGCCACCAGGGAGATCCCGTGAGAAGCAATTTAAAAAAAAAAAAAGATTTATTTATTTATGCATACAGAAATGGGGTACAGGCCAGAGGTTCAGGGGTGGTGAGAGGATTCAGAATGGGGAGCAGGACAGGCCAACTGAAGTACACTGCTGAGGGGAGCAGTGGGGGGGGTCAGGAGCGGGAATCAAGCTCATGCTGAAGTGGCTTTAGCTTCTTAGTGCTGTGGTTTAACCCACTGCACCAGGGAGGGCTGAGAAGCAATTTTTATGTGATGATTCTCTGTGCACTGAGTTTCTGGTCATTTGCAGGTGATCTGTTGAACTCTAGCGACACCTTGACTTCTAGGCAGGTTGAACAGCCTCCTGCTACTATTGAATCTCCAAGTTCAAGATGAAATCACCTCTCCATGGCCAGACCTGTGGATCACATTCTCTTCCTATTTTTTTTAACTGAAAAACTTGATAAGGAGTAATAGACATGAACTTGAGCTTACTGAATTAGAAATTGAAATAAGAGCCCACTTAGAGCTGTAGGTAAAAAGCAACATAATTATGTTTGGGATGTTTTTTATTTCTGCATATGTGCATATTCTAATAAGTCAAATAAGGAAATTTTTCACTGTAAAGATAGTTGGAACACAACAAGGAAGAGGCGACTGTCTTTAGCTAGGAAGCAACTGTTGCCATAAACAGTCTCACTCTCTGGTGACCAAAATGCCCTCGGTCACTTCTAGTGTTTGTTGGAGTGGCTGTGTGCACTAACTCTTAGGCCCGGGGAAGCTGGCCCCCTGCCCCTTGCAGAACAGGGCTGGACAGGGCACTTTGAGAACACACCAACAGGTCCTGAGACAAGATTCCAACACCTGCCAGCAGCGTGACTTTACTTACTATAAACTACCTTTTCATGACTCTTGCCCATTTTTCTACTCAATTGGAAGGTTTTTTTTTTTTCCTTCGCTATGTCTTCTCAATCTTTATCCCTTGTGACAGCTATAATATCATTTTTCCCATTTATTTCCAGAATTCCTTAGGGTATTTTTGCCATGATAGCTATTATACAGAAAAAGAGGGTGTCAAATTGCTCTTTTCCCTTATTGGTTCTATAATTTCAGTCAAAGTTTACAATTTATCTATTTTCTTCCAGTGCAGAGGTTTCATTTTTTATTCATTTTAGTAACCAGCTGCCCAAGATGACCCCTAGTGATTCCCATCCCCTCTCACAGAAAATGGAGCTACTGGGAAAACAGGACACTAGAAAGGGCAGAGTGACTTGTGAGGTTCAGTCATAAAAGGCATCGTGGCTTCTTCCCATTCCGTGGGTCCCTCTCTGCAGGGTAAGTTAGCTGCCAAGTCTTGGCCATTCAAGCAGCCTTTGGGGAGACCCCGGCAGAGAACTGAGGCCTCCAACAAGAGTCACATGAGTGGGCCACCGTGACAATGGGTCCCCCAATCCGTCAAGGCCCAGCTCTAGTCGACACGCTGAACACAAACTCCTGGGAAATGCTGAGTCACAACCATCCAAATTCTTGATTCACAGAAATTGTGAGAGAGTAAGTGTTTAACTGTGAAATGGGCCAAGTTTACAAGAGCTTGATAATAGCAGTAGGTAAGTATCATAGCCACATAGCAAATTCCTCCACCAGCACAGCACATTAAGATCTGGATATCTTATCTATTGTGCTACTCAGAGCCTGTTCTTTCCTTCTGCCCTGGTTCTTGGCTGCAGTTCAGGTAACTGAGGCTGTAGGTGTGATCTCCGGACTGTATCAGTACAGTGGGTCCTGAGGAAGACTGGGATGCCAGGGTGTGCATTTCTGGAGAGCTCTGTGTTAGAGAAGGTCCACTTTGCTGTGCACTCCAGGGTGTGGCCATTTCACTCAGGATGAGCCTGTGGCAAAAGTAGATGACATGTAAATAAGCATTTATACCTACAAAATGAAAGTAAAGTTCTACACTGAAGAGCAGTATGTCCTCTTAGGGTTCTTAACCAGTCAGCAGTTTCTCATCTGTATATGGCAAGTTATTTCTAATGTATAGGATACTGTGAACATGATACAGTGAATTCTTACTAAGTTCCTAGATGCCTCGTAATTACTAACATTTTCACACCTGCCACTATTACCTCCCAAGTTAGAATCTTAACTCCGTGCTTTCCCTTGTTCTGCATAGCCAACCAGTTGCCACATCCAGCATACCCCTTAAATACTTTCTAAATCACTCCCCTTGCCCCACTTCACCCCCTCCACAGTCACACTCCTAGCTTAGGCCACATTATTTCTTGCTGCACATTCTGTGGGCCTCCAGTCCAGTCACAGCCAATGGAGTCACCAGGTGGCTGGCAATGTAACCTTTCTAGGCTCCCCATGCCTAACAGGCCTGCACTCACTGGGGCAAACCAGGAATGTCAAAAAAACACACAGGCTTCTACGTGTCAGCCCCAAGGCAGTAAGATTCTGAACTGACCTGCTGAAGACCAGCTTCAGCTGAGGTAGTGAGGGTCTCCTGCGACAGGACGGTGTCAGCAAAGGTGAGAGAGAGAGGGGAGGGCGGGAAGGGAGAGAGGTAGGAAAATGAGACGCAGACACCTGTTTAGGGGGAAAGCATCTTCTGTGCATTGTCTTTATTTAGGCATTACAAGCAAGCGGTGGGATTATATCAGTGTGTGCACAAAGCAGAAATATAACAATCGTCACGTTTTTCTTAAAGACAGCTCGGGTCTTTCTGATCTCTCATTGAGATGTGATATTCATCATTCATTGATAAAAGGTACAACTGATAAATAAGATGTTCCTATAGTGACCAGTCAATAACAAAATGTTTCTATAGTGATCAGTTAATAAACAAAATATTACTATAGTGATCAGTTATCAAACGAAACGTTTCTATGGTGATTAGTATGCTATTACAACCTAAGCAATCATTTTGTTAATATCTCAATGAACACACACCTTAAAGGTACAGGATCTAATGTTAAGGAACTAGGAGTCAGAAAAACACCAACGACGAGTGCACTGACATTTCCCTGTCCCTAAGGAAACCCCGTTTTTTGATCTACAAAAGGGCCTTCTATTAATCACTATTCCTGCAATTGTTTTGTCAACCTTATCTCTATATCTAACAAAAGAATTAGGGGGAAATTTCTTTCTTTTTGGTCACTGATTATTATCCTATTAATCTTATCTAAAAAAACTTTTCTATGTGAAAAGAGGGTGGGTGAAAGTTAAAGAGTAGGAAAACTTATTATTATTTATAATTCTACTACTTAAAACAAAACTATGTTACTTAAAACTATAGATCTTCTACTGGGGACTGGACAGGAAATTATTACAGCCTTTGGCTCCCAGAATTCTTGGACTGTGACATGTCTCTTGCTATTGTGGGACCTAGATTTGTGCCAGCCCCCTCAAGCAGAGAAATATTAATTATTTTACATGAACACTTTACTTGCCATATTAATTATTTTACTTGCCATTCTGTGTACAATGATATTGGTATTAAACCAATCAATCCAATCAAGTAATTATTGATTTTATAATGAATGTATATTTGGACAATTGCTATGCTTCTTGGGAATGGCCAAAAATAAGCCATATTTCTTGGAAACAGCCACAAACAAACGAAAAGAATCCAGCAGGAACCAGCTGTGGCATATCCTGACTTTTCAGGATATTCCCCCCCCCCCACCTTAGGACCTTGGCCCTCTGCCACTGACTGTCTTAGGGCAGAGAGCCACATGCAGTCAGGAAGAAGTTCAGGAAGGGGCCCCAACTGAGATTCTGCAGATTCAGGATCCATGAAAACTGGCAGATCATGGCACTAGGATGTGAATCCTCCTTTGTTTTTCTCACTATGTGGCTATTTTTGTTTTGGGGATATCCTCAAATGATACTAACAAAATGCATCTTTAGAAAATGATACTAACAAAAATCAGCCTAAATACTAGCAGTGCCATCTGTGGCTTCACCTCCAGGAAATAACCCATATGATGCAAATGAGACTCAACAAAAGTACTGTCTATATCTTATCCAAACACATAGGAATGTGGGATAAATCCTAAGGGCTATCTTGGGAGTTGCTGGTCAACTGATAAGAGGTTGCAAAAGAGAAGACTATCTCAACAGGCATTTCCTAAGATAATGTTTCTTTTGGAGGTGGGAGTATTACAGCCACTAAAAAGGTCGGTGGAAAGAAATTCCTGCCTGTTAGGTCTGAATTAAACATGTCCCATGAAAGCAGAGGTCACCAAGTGACCTAAGGCGCTTGATAGTCACAGATGCCCAGACAATACAAGTGGCCCAGAACACATGACCCATCATCATCTTGGGGGGAATTCAACGTGAACCTTTCAGAACCTTGCAGCAGGAAATGCATAATTTGGCATCCAGTTCATGCACCAGTTTTGCATGGGTGGCGTTCACAAGTCTTAAAGGTCAGCAAAGCCCGCTGGCCTTCTTCCCCTGCCAAAGTAAACCACCCGCGTGTCCACCCACGATTTAAGGGAGCAAGTCCTAGTTCTCAGGTGTCACGAAGGCCGCTGAACACTGCATCGCACTTTTACCGCGGCAGGTCACGCGCGCTGCTAAGCCTGCCGGAGCTTGGACGGAGCGTCCCCGGAGGAGGTGACCCCTCCTTAGGGCGGCGGCTGTGAATATCCACGGGCTCTGGCGGCGGTACCAGTCCCGCGAGAGTGCCGGGCTGGGAACGAGGGCTCGCGGTGCTCCACCCACTGGCGGGGTTCACCCGGCGCCTGGGCTACGCCTCGCGGGGAGTTCGCCCTCCGACCCCGGCCTCGGTCCTCGGGTCCCGACGACCTCTGGGCGCGGCAGTCCCAGTGCCCCCGTGCTCCTGCTCGGCCAGAACCCAGAGCCCGGAAGCCGCGCGCCGCCGCCTGCCATGAGCGGCCCCCTGCGGCC